TAGAAGCGGTTAAAATGTGTATTTTAGGCTGTTTGAGCATTTAGTTAATCTGCTATTGTTGTTGAATCAATGATTCTGTGATCGACCTCATGGTCTCTGGAAGAAAACTGCAGACCTGCATTTACCTTTATTATTTACACCTGACGTGATGATGCTGCAGGAATAAAATCAGAGGCCTGTTTGAATAAAACCAGAGTCTGGTGCATGAGCTTGGCTTTATCTTTTATTTGGGTAATGTCTAAATTTATATAATTATCTTTTTTTAAAGGCCTCTGGGCCACCAGGACATCACATGTCTAAGGCTCTGGATTACCTTTAAGAAATTACTTAGCCTGAGGTGTTGAAGAGTGATTCAGCGATTCCATTAACTGCTGCTGAAAGAGTTTTTATTTCATCTGTTTCTAAAAGGAGTAATATTTGATTTTCTGTTTTTATTTTTCCTGAAGAGCATAAAGAAGATGAGGATGGAGAGAACTATGCAAACGCCTGAGGACTCTTTAGTTTGTCTTAAACTTTTCTCAACATCAAGGAGATGTTGAGAAACATCATAAGGGGAAGTTTTCTTTTTTCTTTTTTTGCATGCTTAGCAGATTTTAATATTTGTTTAGTTTGTTAAAATGTAGCAGGGGTCTTCCAGTCCTCCAGGTCTGCTGTCCTGAACCTTTTAGATGTGTCTCTGCTTCCACACACCTGAGTCAAATGGCTGAATTACCTCCTCAGTATGCAGCCAAGTTCTCCACAGTCCTGATGATGACCTGAATATTAGACTCAGGTGAGTAGAAGTAGAGACATATAAGGTTTTCCCACTGCAGATAAATTTGGCCTATATCAGATTTTTTGGAGTCAAGGCTTTTTAAAACAAGTGGAATGACTCAGATTTGGCCCATTTCAGGCCCCCATCTGATTTTATTCTAGTCACATTTGAGCCACATTCACATTTAGTCCTGAATCTGTCTCTTATCTGATCTTTTGTAAACTGACTCCAACAGGAACGATTGAGGGAGTTTAGATGTAAATTGTACATCTCTTTCCACTGCATTCATCACAACTTAGATCTGCTGAGCAGGAAACGGTAGCAGTTGGTAAAACAGAAGGAGGGCTGGAATAGAACTGGACAGTGGAGAGACAGAGAGACATTAGAGCTCGTTAATAAACAGATAAAACTTTATTCAGGTTAAATTAAAAGATTCATATAATCTTCTTGAAAGTTAGATGTAGTTTTTAATATGAAATTCCTACATAACTCTTTTACAGCTCTCCTCAGCTGCTCTGAGTGTTAAAGTGGGACAGTCGTCATAGTTGTCCATTGTAGGTGTTCCTCGGTTTTTAAAAATGGCGAGCACCTGCACTGAATCGAGATGGATGACCACACAGATAGCCAGAAAGGCATACCAAGGACCAATCACAGCTGCTTTTTGTCTGCGCACTTCCGCTTGTCTGACGTGTAGTCAGGATTTTTTTGAGATGACGTCAGAAGCATAAATTGGCCTTTAGAGTCCATTTAAAGGAGAGGAT